ATCATCTCTATAACATGAGACTGAGTGACATATCCTTATGTAGAGAATATGAACATGAAGATAAGACAGTTAAGTACTTACTTTGCAACTGCCTAGCCGTCCTATCGATACGAGAATCCTTTTTGGGGGAACCGTGTCCTAGGGGCAGCTGGGTCGCATCATCACCTTTTTAAATAGTCTGGGGACGCCCGGGTGAAGTACGTACAAGGTGATCAATGGGGCCTAAGTGCTGCGAACTTGGTTGATTGCCCTTCCTCCTATTCATAATCTGCCTTCCAGGCGACAGTTCATTTTTGTTCTCGAGGGCTTTATTGAAAAGATACGAGGTGTGAAGTTTAAAAATAAAAAAACATTTTTTTTACTATTTTCAAAACCGTCAACTGGAATGAACTAAAATTTGTGAATGGTTACTGCAAATGCATAATCAAAATGCAGATTTTATTGATCTGGGTTTGTGGTCAGATGAATCGCTTTTTACTAGGAGTGGAAACTGTAGTTCTCGTAATGAACATATTTGGTCGTTAGACAATACCCGTTCTGTAAGAATCCATTCGTTGCAACACAGATTTTCTACAATATAAGTGTCTGGTGCTGCATTTTCAATGGCCAACTGTTTGTGCACGTATTGACACAACGTTTAAATGCAAACTCATACTTAGCTTTTCTAGAGAATTACATAGAAAATGTGTTAGATGATGTTCCGTTAGCAACGAGAGTACGAATCTGGTATCAGCACCATGGTGCCCCACAGCATGTTCGTCGTGACATAACCGCATGGTTAAATAATCATTTCAAACAACGATGGATTGGAAGAAACGGACCCGTCATTGACCTGCAATCTCTCCTGATTTGAGCCTCCTTGATTTCTTTTCAAACAACTAGTGTATACTGAACAAATTAATACTGTCGATCAGTTACAAGAAAGAATGGATAATGCGTTTCATCATTTCAAGTAACAACAAATTTTGCGGAAATACGTTTTTTTCCGTACTTGTATCCGTCAGAACATTTATTGAAATAAAGCTTTGATTATTTAATTTGCTTTTTTTATTTTTACGAAAGCAATGCACTCCAGGAAAAAATACAACAGTAATTATTTCTAGCAAATTGGGGTAACATTCGAAAAATTGCGCGATTCTACAAAGAAACAGTGGAGTACTATTTTTATTTGGAACGATAATGCCACCAATACCCCTGTATCTCCGCCACTGCTGCATGTTAATTTTGAGTAAAGACTTTTAAACGTTGACAATACTTAGGTAAATCCACACACCAAATCTTAGTTCATTGTTCTTTATTTTTGGACTTCAACAGCCCGTATCTTTTTAATGAAGGATTGTAAGAATGTAGGATTAGAAAAAAATAACCACCCCATGTATAATAAAAAATAGCGTCAAGCAGGTTGGCTCTGCACTTCTTACGCATCTGTTCATAAAGGATTATTATTACAAGAAAAAAATTAACTATTCACATGTATAACACAAAAAATGGTTCCAGTAAACCAAATAGGCCTAAAAATTATATATTATATATATATATTATATAAAATTTGATAACACTGTGATCAAGAAATTTCTTTCCAGCTCTTATTGAAAGTATCGACCATCTGGCAGCAACTCTATGCTGGCCAGCCAGTTTTGAGAGCAAATGTATGAGAAAATATATGATGTATGCATGATATATTTACTGATAGATGCGCAGAATTAGCGGGGCTGGAAGCGAATAAATATACTACCGCCAAAAAAATGAGATGTACTCTCCCCACCCCCTACAAACCCCAATTTTTAGCTCCTACAAAAATTTTACAAAAATGATCAGGTACATTTGAAACATTAATACGAAATTTGAACGATTCTTGTTTTTTGTTTGGTTTTGCTCCTCGCTCCGTCGCCACTGGACCGATTATTAAAATTCACTAAGCTTCGCTTAGTAGTAACGTTGTGTGAAAATGTCATCAAAATCCTTGTGTTACTTCTCAACTTATAGACGGGCCAGCGATTAGAGAATAGACAGACAGACAGACCAACCGACGAAATAAGTTTTTCGTGATCTTATGTCATGTAACGTGCAAAAAACATAATATCTCAATTTAGAAATGTTCCGCGATTATAATACTTCATTGCCTGTTGGAGTGAGAGGAAAAAAAAGTCAGATCTATTCAAAAGGTTCAAATGGAGTCGAAACTTGACTAGATTACATATATTTATGTAATGATTATTTCCATATGAATGTTTGCTTGCATATTAGTAATTTTTGTAAATCCTGTTTGTGCTTCAATGACAAATGTACAGAAAACGTGGGGCAAATCACTTAGGTGGTATTGTCTCCAGAGCTGGGACAGTACAACGAATTACGGATCATCACGATGTATTATTGGACAATGCGGGGTTCTACGGGATAGTATGGTGTTGTACGAAGTATTACGGAGTATTATCAAGGAAGTATAAGGTAATATGAGTCATTATGGGGTAGTATTCTGCTACGAATAATTCAGATCGATATCCCGACGGCTGCAGAATACACCATATGGCAACACTGTAGTGCTGGGTAGCAAAAGTAAAAAAGGCAACATGATTTTCTAGACCAGATGGACTATGAGCCAGCTGTCAAAACGATATAAATTTGCTATCATCTCTAAACGCTTTCGATAAGAAAATCTCTATCGAACAAACAGCTGCATGTGTTCCAAAATCGGAAATCATAAATATGTATTACTATAGGGCCTGCGATTTTTTTTCACGATTGCAGGCAGAGAATCACTCTGTATTCTCGTGATTTCTGGCAAAGTTACTCGTATACGCTAGATATGCAATTCTATGGGGTATCTACAACATATATGACTTTTTTGGTGGCACACTTCTTCGGTTGAGTTTAGCGAATCTTTTTCAGGCAGCAATCGACCCTTAAATGCATAGAATCACCCTGTAGTCCCCTGATTTTTCTCATAGTTATACGTTGGACTTCTAAAGGGTTTTTTCAACAAATACTAGAGGAGTCAGGATAGTCACCTGAAGGTCCTGTGAATGGACATTTTGCAGTCATCACCGCTGTTCCATCAATAACTAGAATAGAGTATAACCTCTACCTCACAAATAAAAGATCAAGCCCCATAGTTCCAGAAAATTTTTGCACATTTACCTTTTTGTCAAAGACAGTTTTTACTGTAGTGCTTGTTATATTTTGTCCTAGTGGTTTAGCGTTGTGCTAAAGTTTATAATAGATTGTGCTTTATTTTCTCTTTCCTCCTAATGCATACTACTAATTAAAGCATCAGTTATCTTATGCTTCTGTTTGAGTACCTCACTATAACGTTTTACGCAGTTTGTCACGGCTGCGCTATGTACTACACCCGCAGGGTCATTACGCAAAAACCTTTTTTTGTAGCAGAACCTACATAATGTCACAAAAAAATTACAGAATGTTAAAAAAGGCGCAACTGTTCAATTAGCTTGTTTCACGGTATGCATTCCCAAGTGATTGCATTTTGGCCCCTGCTAGTTAAGTCAGCTTCTGACTTTGCCAGTCGCTTCTCTAATCTTTCCTCCATAGTTGGGGAGCTGCAACTTATGTCCCCTTATTTTGAATGCGGGATGTTATTACATATAGCAGTAAATACACCGTTTTTCCTTTCTCTTTTGGTTCTGCTTCCCTTGTTGTTCCGTTACACTGATTTTCACGTTTTCACCGACAGACAGACGACAGAATAATATTTTTACAACTGATCCACGATGATGATGTGTCTCAGAATTTTACCTTCGTAAGTGGGACTTCTAAATAATCCCTGAAAGGACTCGTGTGTCACCCGTGTGCAACGACTATTCAACATAACTTTTTTACCAATGGATCGATTTTATTTTTAAAGCTCATTTTATCCCTTTTTGAAAGTAAAATATGTTTTGTTATCATTCATTTTTCGAATAATCCAATAATTATTCAGATTCGGTTGCCATTTCAAAATATGACGACAGTATGAGTAAAATCACGTGATATTTTTTCAAATACTTCTGTATACATTTCATCAACCTCCAGAATAAAATTCAGAGTACATATCAGTGCACACGCAATCAATTTTAGCGCGTTGTCTTATAATCAGCATTGCCATCTTTGAAAGATTTGGAATACTTAGTTTCACTTTGTGGCAATGGTAGCGAAAATTATCTGCAGTATTAGTAAATGCAGTATTTTTAACTGTTCAAAATTGGTTTCAGCTCTACCAAAAACAGACTACTTTTCTTGTAAAGTACTGTTATCTAAATGCCTTGGCAAAGATCAACATCCTTAGTACACCTCAATAATTATTGGTTTATTCAAGAAATGTGAAATCACATAATACGTTTGTCTTTAAAAAACAAATGAGTAAGACGAGCTTTAGGACATTAAAGAAGATATGTTGAATATCCGTTGTACAACTTGGCGGTCATTTTTAAATATGTATATATATACATAAATTCTCATCACCGCTCTTTTCTTGTTGGACAGACTCCTATTTATTTTTGGTTCATACAAACTACACTAGTTCATATCGGATTAAAATGTTTAGGATTGCAAAGAATATCTGCAGCCGCTGGCATGGTACACAGAAATACCGGCTAGGACCACTGAACACGGAACATAAGCGTTTTATCTTGTACTAGAAGAATTTACATGCGATTTTCTCTGCCGAAATGGCAGGAGAGTTTCATAGCTGACTAATATCTTAGCTGTGATTTCACTATGTCCGTTTAAGTACGGAAGAACTTGTATTCCTAAATAGTTGTTACTGCTGAATGTGATTCTGCTCTGTGGCACTGCTGTGCCTATTTGTTACGTACTTTCTGGACAAGACATGATAACATTTTGTTATTGAATTATGAATTAATGTTCGTGGTCAAATCAAAGAAGACTATAGTGGGAAATGCATATAATTATATTGCTGTGTAAGCAGATAAAGTGAAAGTGACCTAGCTGCTCGCAATAATCTGTTCAGTGGGACAAATACTGGTCTCGTTACAATTGAAATATCCAACATAAAAATTTGTAGATATGCCTCTGACCAGTGTCCGCAGGTTAATTGCCTAACGATCAATTGTTATACAATTTCCAACCGCACTTCTTGAGATTGATTGCTCCCCACCTAACCATCGATGTCAGTATACAAAGATGCCACATTTATAAGACCATTCGAACAAGAAACTTTTCGCTAAGCACCCGTTGAGAACGTACAATAAAAACAAAAAAGTAGGGTTCCTAAAGTATCGTTATTCTGAGTGTTAATATAATGATGTGCAAGTGTGTTGTGAGTTTTGTTTATATCCTAGGGGTAGTGAACGCCCTAGGGGTACCGTTTTTTGACGAGTTAATGCTAGAGCAAGGAGATGATTCTGCACTTGTAGAATCTACTGCCAGAGAAACGAGAGCAGTAGGACCAAAAGACATCGGTGAACTTCTCAGTCCTGGTAAGTCGTTATAGGATTTACGTGTTAGCATGATATAAGAAGGTTGATCCCTATGCCCCGCCCCTAACCCATTTGAAATAGAGCTACATTTAATATACAGGGGTGTTCTAAAATATGTCAATTGGACATGAGTGCCTTGTTTGTCCGTTAGAGGGCATCTAAGTTTTCTTTTTGAAACACATCTTTCGAGATATTTCAAGATAGTCAGAATTGAATGAAATTTGGAACACATATGTTTTGCTAGATGTTCTAATATTTGACTTTAACGAAAACTCTAACGCGTTCGAGAAGGGCGAAAACTACCCCCACCCTAACATAAATATTATAGCAGAATGTTTTGTCAACTTTCCCGAAAACTCTGAAGTTTTTTGTTTAGCAGATCTTTTCATTTATTTCATTTTTTATATCTCACAAAAACAGGCAATCTCGGTTTGTTTTAGAAAAAAAAAATGAGTTGCAACAAAAGATTCCCAAGCGTCTTAATAATTCTTTTAGTGTAGTTAACGAAAATAAACAAGTCTGATATTACATATTACAATTTTATTTAGTATAGACAATAGAGCGCATCTTCCATAAAAGGTGTTCAATATGACCATCATTTTCGTTCCTGTACATGACAATACGGCGCAAAAAATTATAATGTTTTTAATGCTCCCCAGTTAAAAAAAAAAAAAACGCAAGGGTCAAGATCTGGGCAACGAGGTGGCCGTTGAATAGGAGCTGTCTCTTCTTAAATTCAGAGATTCTAGGTTATAAAATATGTGTTACAAGCAAATCAAGAAGCATACGTTAAACAGTTTGACATAAACTTGATAGATATTTTGGTAACACTCGTAGCCTATTGACACCACTTGTTTTACTGCTAAAAACATTCACATAAGCATCTGCAAAGGGCCAGGGACAGAGCATACGAATCAACCCTCGTAACAGAGGATTTTGCTTTGACGACGCTGCTTCCTGGGTAGCTTACAACTTGTTCTTTAAAAAAACAGGTATTTGGAGAAGGTGTAAACAGAGAAACGGTCTCAGACACAAACCTGAGACCTCCTGATAACTAAATGAAAGGTATTCTGTATGAAAAACTCACACAAATGACTATTTTGGGCATGAGTTGCCTGAAGAAACTTGGCCTAGACCAACTCAAAAATATTATTTCTGCAAGATTTTGGGGAAGTTGTTGAAAGTTGATACTCCCATAGACTTCGACATGCTCTTTTCGAATAAAACCTTAACAGAGTTTTGTTACAATGTCTTCGTTAAACTATAGAGAGATTCGATAAGTGAGCTGTGGGACAGATAGAAATAAAAAAGGTCTCTGTCAGCTGAAAAATACATCTTATATTTTGCTGGAGTGGCTATTCTATAGACAAAATAAACACCCAAATGTACGGCACGGGTATCACGTATCTTGAAAAGTGACATTATGCCGATTTTTTTTGACGTTTTTTTTTGACATTATGTAGGTTTTTCTACAAGATGTTAACTTAGCACTTAGTTGTACCTGTTGCCTAAAAGCCATGAGGTTTGTTATCACTCTTTGGCTCTGATGTCATGTAAAATCTGCTTCTGAGATGGCATTACTGGAGGTCTAAGGTGTAAGTTGTATGTGTTGATGATAATTACATTGGTTTCTTGTCTCAAATACACTTAATTGAGATTCAAAGCTAGAAATTAGTTCCACTTTTCTTATCCATTCTGGAAATTACATATACAAATTTGCTGAATTTCAAAAATGAGAGAAATAAGAAATAATTATATTCACTGTACACTGACGTACAAGCCATATGCATGCTAACAGTAATTACACACAACGCGGGCGCGGTGATGATTTCCCGTAATTCTCCTCAGTTTTTCGTAATTTATAACTTTGAACATAACCTCTCTTCAGAAAGCACAACATAAAAATAACCCGTCGGGCACAGCCAATGGACATACTTCATTGACAGCATATTCAGTAACGATTTTCTCACACAGCAAATATCACTGATTTTATACACATGTAGATCAATACTCATAATGATCCAGATACGATCTTGCTATTCAACCAACTTTCTTCTCAGAGATAAAAGCTACAGACAAGGATCATTTGGCCCCACAAAACATATGCAATCAATAATGTGTGTAGTTTAGTTGAGTGATTCCTCCTTAGATGGACGTTCACAACGATCCTAGTGAGCAAACGTGGAATGACTGTTTGCGCCCTAGTTTTTTACATGATACCCATGTGGGTGGGCTAATAATAAAAGACGCCGGTTATATCTTGGTAACCGATTAACCTAAAGCTGTCAGCTGAAAAATGACCAAAAGAAATTGCTGGAAATAATGTTCAGCTTCCTAAAATGGCCGCTAAGTGGTGTCATGACAACTTCAAACATTCAATAGCGATTGTTTTGCACAAATTCATAATTAACATACTCATTAAATAGCCTTATCATGTTGACCGCTCAATTTTTCTTTTGTCCATCTCATTTTTTGATATTCAAGTTAGTTTAGGGTGGGGGAAGGACTGAATGCCATTTCAGAAAAAGTCACAACTTCTGTTTGGCTGCGACGGTTTTGATGATCTTGATTTCGTTCGAAAGAGTATTTATCTGCGGTCCTAATGAATGCTCAATCTCGTCAAATCGCCGCCGCTAGATGGCGCTTTGATGGATGTGTCGGGGTTTCTTGTTTAAATTACAATTTCCAAGTATTGAGGATAAGAAAAAAGATTTATTTTATGAATAGTTGTGTAAAATGTATATGTTTTTAAGATTTTTGATAACAGCTAGTGGCCGTAGTAGCGATCTCCAGATAAATGAAAAACCAGCCCTTCTTCATTTATACTCGTACCTCATTCATATCTCATTTGTCTTTGAAATATAAACATTTTTGCCCCATTTACACCCCAGAGTGCGAATTATGAAATGTGTTACATCCACTGTAATAGTATAGCTGCGGTTTGGTTTAGAATAACGTATTAATAAAATTTAGTGTACCGCGTCAGGACATTCGAGATCGGGTATTATGTAAAAAAACTAAAAACTTTAAAAAAAAACAACGAAATGTCATCTTGCAGAGTAGGTTGTTTTTAGTGTGCAAATAGTTCATTCCACGTTTGCTGGCTATGATCGTGGATGTTTAAGCAACAGGTACAGCTACAAAACGAGTTCACAACAAGTGTACAACAGCTTGTGCTAAGTTAACATCATGTTGAAAAACCTACATTATGTCACAAAAAACCTAGGAAATGTCAAAAATAACTGACGAAATATCACTTTTCAAGATACGTAATACCCGTGCCAAAGCATAAGAACACACTGATGGAATGACACGACCTAGCGGCCATTTTAGGAAGCTGAAAATAGTTTCCATCAATTTTTTTTACCACTATTATTAATAACGTTTTTTCCACGAAGGGATAAAAACGTATATCCACCATGGGGGCTAACATAGCCTACCTATGCATCCACATGTCCCCGAAGTGCTCTTTTATGCCCCTGTGGCACTTACTTGTACTACCTCGTCGGCAAGGAAAATAAAGTGCAGGTCAAGCTCCGGCTAGACTCTAAATATACGTTTTTATCCGCATGGGAAAACTTTATTATTTAGAGGTCTGAACCTTCGCTTGACCCACCATGAGATGTGTTTGTCTTTGGCCGACGGTGCGCCTAGCAGGCGGTGAAAAGCTTCTGGGACTGGTTCATTTGAAGAAATGAACCTGAAGGAAGATTTGAACCAAAGTGATTTATGCATCATTTTGAAACGAAAACATAAATTATGATGATATTAACATAAAAAGTTTGAGGTAGATTGACATCGCTTAGTCATATCAATTTTTCCAAAATAATGTTTAGGAAGGAATCGTGGCCAAGATCTCTTCAATACTGTTCACCGAACAGTTGTACGAAGTCACAGCTGACCGTGTACTTCCTGGAGAAGTTATATAATCCTATAGTTTGGAAGGCTATCCTGACCGAGCCCCTAATGGCAGAGGCTGAGGCACCCGCTGTTTTACCCTTAGTGGTTATAAATACATTGTCGATACCTTTTTGGGCTTTTCTCCTATCAGATGATAATTTTATGAGTTTTTGTATCCAATATACACTATCCGAGCGTGATTTGTCGTTTATACATCCAGTCTGCGCGTGCTCAGCATTTTTTGACCCGAAACAAGTCCAGAAGATATCTTCAAGCACTTCTGTATGACCCGGCGATATACACTCAGGTCCAAATAAACGCAACAAACAAAATTTTGGTTAAATTTGTAGCGTCATAATTTTTTTTACCTGATTTCATTACTTCGGCAGGCGGTAGGTACACTAATTGGCTTTGTTGTGTGAATATGAGTTCTTGATTGTAGTCACGGTTTGACTTGTACAGGGTAAATAAAAATGATGTTTCATTACTCCAACTTTGAGTCACTCTGTGGTGTGAATCAAGTTGCCAGTCAGACCGCAATGCTTTTCATTATCAAGAACCAAATTTTCTCTATAAGCTGATTCTTATTCACGTCAATATATACAGGGTGTCCGCAAAGTTGGGGTTTTCCTTTTCAGAAACAACTACCCTTGAAATAACAAAGGTAATGTGTAGTGAAACGAGGGCGACCAAGTAAAAAAAAATAAAGGAAAAAGTACTCACTCTCCAGTTGACGAGAAGGGCTAAGTACGTCTCTGCCTGAAATCGAAAGTTATTCACCCCATTACGCGTGAACGTAGATTCGTCTGTCACCAATATGCACTTCAAAAAGTCCGGATTATTGTCATGTTGATGCAACAACCACTCACAAAACCGCACTCTTGCTGGAAAATCGTCAGGTTGAAGGGCTTGTACACGTTGGACGTTTGTCACACTTTAGTTTTTGATACTTGCACTTCTCTAGCCACGTCTCTAGTGCTTGTTGAGGGATTCTCGTCTACGCGATTCAGTAGTTCTTCCTCAACTTGCACCATTCGTGGTTGTCTAGGCCTCCCACTGTGCCCACCTCGAAATTCCTCCAAATGGCCCGTATCCCTGAC